TAAAGGGAGAACGATAACGGGAGCGAGATCGACGAAGAAGTTGCGATCACGTAACCGGCTCGTGAAAGCTAGTTTGTCGCCGATAAGGGTTGTTTGCCGTGACTACCCGCGGTTCAAGCCCACTTGTGCACACTTCCGAACGGATTAAGCCAGTGCAACACGCGTGGCCCCGATAATTAATTGTCGTGTAGCAATGTATCGGGCTCAATTATCATTACACACTTGCGTCGAATAAATTATAACTTTTAACACCGCGCAACGCTGTGCGAGTTGACAATTTGTTCGTCTGCTAGTTGTTATTACCTAATTTTCAAACATCGGATTTTCGGTTCTCCTCTTCACGACCAGCGACAAAATTCGATAATCGGGCGAATTTTGTAAATGTTCGTTCTTTGAAGTAATGGATTCGTATAAACGAGACCGTGCTAGCTACGTGAGGTCTCTTTGTCTGCAGGATTTCTTCGAGTTCCGTTTGGATTTGCTGGTTTAGCTTCAGAAACGTAGTGAGAGAAATTGTAGGAGTAGGAGGCAATCTAAAGGTGGATGTTCACTTGTAACATATCTCTGTTGTATGCATAGTCATTTATAAGAACGAGGGACATGCCCTAATGGTAGACAGTTCCTCTTGTGACTACAATAAATACACCTCTGAAGTTAACTGTGGCTTCCTACATTTTTATGCCTTCTTTATTAAAGTTGGCAGAAAAATGCCAGGGTGCTTTCCCATCGTCTGGAGAATTGTCAGACCAATTCTCGATCTTCAGAGAAAGTGTGCATTTCCTACGTCTCGTACCCATCCAGGTCAATCTATGAACTTTATACTTGTAGTAATAGTAGAGAGTTTGTAGGCGACTTCGGTGCGCACAGAACCTAGGGAATCCGCACTTAACCCCCTCCCCACCGCCCCCTCCCGGTGAAGAATTTTTCTGGCACTACTGTACGTCGTTTCCGACCATTGTACGTGAAAGATAAATGGTGCAAGTTCTCTAGGCAGAGTGTAGAAAAAAAAAAGAGAACCATTCATTGGCTCTTTTAAAATTTTGACAATAAGTTTTTGTAAGAATTGAATCCGGAACTATTCTGAAAAACGGTACGTGCCTTAGAGAAATAACTCATTAATTTATTCCATAGATACGAAGACTGCCTCTTCACCGATTTTAATAAAACGAAAACATATATCGGGCGGGTAAAATATTGAATGACTTTTTCTTTTGCAAAAATTAGCAACCGTCTTCAGTTCGCAACGCATGGTCAATAGAAGATTCTTGTATATATTCGTCCCGTGACAATGTATGCAACGTACACTATAACACACAATCGTCGTCGTTATCGGGTGAAACATAGCGTGGCTGCCGACATTCTAGCGTATACATATAATGGATGGCCCTGTAAATAACATGGACTGCCTCCTCTAGGTCACTCCGTAATTTTATGGGGCCGAAGGTTTCTCTGTGCCACCCCGCCTTATGTTTAAGTGATGCACACGTAGCCATGGACGTGTATGTGCGAGACAAAATTTATTTTGGCCAATATTCTGTAAACTGAAATCGACCGTCAGTTTTTTCAAAGGAAAGAGCTGTTCGAAATCATCAGATACTTTTGTTTCATCGAGCAATCTTTTTACAAGTTGATGCCGTAAATGAATATTTTTTCATTGATTTCATTATAATTTGAGCTGTCGGACTTTTTAAGGTTTCCCTTAAACTTGTATAAGCGGATTCGGATACGCTTCGAAGAAAATCTCATGGTAAACGACGACCGCAAAATTCAGCTCCACGAATCAAGCGTAAAATCAATTTCGCGGACAACATGCGAGATGAGGCGCAGCGTCAGGTCGTGTCGAGTGGCGAACAGAAAAAATGACCAAAGCCGATCTGGACCGGTTGGAGATTGATGGATTTTATTTCCGGTCGCCGCGAGCATCGTCAGAGGACGCGACAAAGTTTCTCATTGAGTATTTGCGGCACTGTCAACGCGACGACGGATTTTACCTGCGCTTTCACCGGAAATAGAGTTAGAAAAAACGCTAGTAGGCGAATTTTGTTTGCCCATAAGGCACAGCCTAACGGCAAGAATATGATTCATGCGGAATCGATGAATTCGGAAGAGCTACGTGGCTAGTGTCAGAAAATATTACAACGTGCCGTTGTTTTGGAGTTACCACACATTGGTGCAACCCTTTTGTTTCATTCATGAACTTTCCGATTGTTCGAGGGAAAAATGATTTGAGAGGAAATATGTGATCTGGCTCGAGGAACGGCGAATACGCTGGAAGTTTGTTTATGGAATTGTTTCGTTGAATATGGATTCAGCCGCAGTGCCGGAACGAGAGAATTGCTTTTTACATTTCGCCACGATTTCGTGTTGTTTGTTTGATGGTCTCTTTCTCTTTTTGAAGCGAATCTATTTTGAGTATTCCATTTGACGTCGTAACAGTGAATAGGAAATGGAAGTTATTAATTAAATTTTCCTATTGATCTATAAGATAATAATATTCAGGGTGTCCTAGAATGCATGGCTTTTCTCTGAGGGTGCGAGGCAGAGTAAATTTTTTTGGTAAACAGCAAATTCGTAACTGTTTCAATACAATCATTGTATCTACTGTACATTCATTTATTTCGGATTCCTCTGAATATACAAAAATTTGCATTTCGAATGAAAGGGGTGATGACTCGCGATCTTAAATACCTACTTACAGGATTGACCATTTGGCCTCACGGGTTGTGAAATAAAAGTACCAAAATTTATCTTCTTTCATTTATTAATCAGAATTTAGTTATTTTTACAATACATTACTGTACTATCGTTCAAAGAGCCACGTCGTCTGTACGGGCTGTTACAACGCATGATTCAAGTGATTCTTACAATGTAGACGTATACAGACGTGAACATGATGTTTCAAAATTAAATAACAACGTGTTCACATAATTACTCGTTAAATTAAGATTTTCGAAATTCTCAGTATGCAATACCTATAAGTACCTTCGAGCACGCGCGTTGGCGCACGTTGCAAGCAACTGAAGCGCAAGGTGCAGCGCACGGTATTCTCAACAGTTTCCACCGTGCGCCATACATAATGGAGGTTAGCCGCAGGATGGTAAATCACGGGACGCCATGCGGGCGTAGTTATATCGTGCGTGCGTGATGGAAGATTAGTACACGGCATTGTGCGAGCAGCGTGGAGGCGCGCGATGATTTATCGCCTACGAAAAGCCTTGCGCGCAATGGTGTCTCCGTGCGCCGCCGATCACCGAAATGGATCTTCGATGACAATCCCGCGGCGAATCGATGTCCGCTGCGTTTTCTGTCTCATTCCGGTTCCCGTGTACCTCGTGAGAATCTCCTCCAAGTTTTAATTGGTTAATCAATCAATGGGAAATACGTCTACGTAGAAGATCTCTCAAAATCGCGCGCACAATGTGCGAGCGAAGAGTCTCAGGGAGTCATAGTTACTCTTTAGTCTATACGAACTGCGCCCGTAGTAAAATTCCTTTGGCTGACACGAGAACCTTGCGATTAAC